GAAGTCCAAACACACTATCATACAAATACATACTCCAGAAGTCCAAACACACTATCAATCAAATACATACTCCAGAAGTCCAAACACACTATCAATCAAATACATACTCGAGAAGTCCAAACACACTATCAATCAAATACATACTCCAGAAGTCCAAACACACTATCAATCAAATACATACTCGAGAAGTCCAAACACACTATCAATCAAATACATACTCGAGAAGTCCAAACACACTATCAATCAAATACATACTCGAGAAGTCCAAACACACTATCAATCAAATACATACTCCAGAAGTCCAAACACACTATCAATCAAATACATACTCCAGAAGTCCAAACACACTATCAATCAAATACATACTCGAGAAGTCCAAACACATTATCATACACATACATACTCCAGAAGTCCAAACATACTATCATACAAATACATACTCCAGAAGTCCAAACACATTATCATACAAATACACAATCCAGAAGTCCAAACATGTTATCATACAAATACATACTCTAAAAGTCCAAACATGTTATCATACAAATACATACTCTAAAAGTCTAAACACGTTATCATACAAATACATACTCTAAAAGTCTAAACACGTTATCATACAAATACATACTCTAAAAGTCTAAACACGTTATCATACAAATACATACTCTAAAAGTCCAAACATGTTATCATACAAATACATACTCTAAAAGTCTAAACACGTTATCATACAAATACATACTCTAAAAGTCTAAACACGTTATCATACAAATACATACTCTAAAAGTCCAAACACGTTATCATACAAATACATACTCTAAAAGTCCAAACACGTTATCATACAAATACATACTCTAAAAGTCCAAACACGTTATCATACAAATACATACTCTAAAAGTCCAAACACGTTATCATACAAATACATACTCTAAAAGTCCAAACACATTATCATACAAATACATACTCCAGAAGTCCAAACACATTATCATACAAATACATACTCCAGAAGTCCAAACACATTATCATACACATAGATATTCCACAAGTCCAAACACACTATCACACAAATACATACTCCAGAAGTCCAAACACACTATCACACAAATACATACTTCAGAAGTCCAAACACACTATCACACAAATACATACTTCAGAAGTCCAAACACACTATCACACAAATACATACTCCAGAAGTCCAAACACACTATACAAATACATACTCCACAAATCCAAACACACTATCATACAAATACATACTCCAGAAGTTCAAACACATTATCATACACATACATACTTCAGAAGTCCAAACACATTATCATACACATACATACTCTAAAAGTCCAAACATGTTATCATACAAATACATACTCTAAAAGTCCAAACACATTATCATACAAATACATAATTCAGAAGTCCAAACACACTATCATACACATACATATTCCAGAAGTCCAAACACACTATCATACACATACATATTCCACAAGTCCAAACACACTATCATACAAATACATACTTCAGAAGTCCAAACACACTATCATACAAATACATAATTCAGAAGTCCAAACACACTATCATACAAATACATAATTCAGAAGTCCAAACACACTATCATACACATACATAATTCAGAAGTCCAAACACATTATCATACACATACATAATTCAGAAGTCCAAACACATTATCATACAAATACATACTCCACAAGTCCAAACACACTATCATACAAATACATACTCCACAAGTCCAAACACACTATCATACAAATACATACTCCACAAGTCCAAACACACTATCATACAAATACATACTCCACAAGTCCAAACACACTATCATACAACTACATACTCCAGAAACAGTAGCCCCTCTTCATCCATATCAAAACTGGCCATTAAGTCACACAGTCAGCCAAATTAGTGGGCACCCAAGAAGAAGTGAAGAAAAATCTTCCCCAAGGATGAGTTCAACAACATAAATGTAATTGGACCATAGATAAATAATAATAATAAAAAATGGAGATGATTCCCATTCTGAGACAGTTAGTGATAACAGTAGTCCCATTTCCAATATCAATAATGTCATACAAGGACAAACGTGGAAAAGATACCCACCAAGACGTCATCAGGGTATCCTCTATTCACTTTCAAAG